GCTCTCACTGAGATATTATTTGCATTGAAATGTCAAAACAAATCAGGGTGCGTCTAGTCCTATGCAAGTAGGCAAAAGGGTTTAGCAATCATTACAAACCTGGGAGCAGTGCCACGACGACTAGCATCGGAAGGTGATGTGCGCGGCAACGTCTGAGGTAGCTGCTCTTCCACCGACATCACAAATGATCGGTAGTTTCGGCGTTGCAGTTCCTTCAACTCACTGATACGGCTGTCCCACTGGGTCTTTAGGATCTCATAGTCGGCATGAAAACGGCGCTGCAGTTCTGAGACAGCCTCGTCGCTTCCGCCCTTTGCAATCAGCGAAGCTGTCTCTTCGACATTTCTAAAAAAAGAAACAGAAGCCAAATATTAATTGAAGTTAGAATGCCTAACAGAAGCAGTGAAACTCGACATGCTTGGAGCACGCATACAGTAGATGGTATATCTAATGAAATGTGAGGAACAAAATTTGATTAGGGATTTAACACACATTTGAAGTTGTTTATTTTGTTCATTGAGTTGACTTGAGGCGAAAAATGCTGTTTAATATTAACGTTTGTTGATATCCGAGGAAGTTCTTAAACGCTCGACTTATCTTCAACTAAGGTAAAGTACACAGATACTCGACGCCGAAGTATCTAATTAAAGCGCCTTTTTCAAGAGGTAAGTTGTTATAGAAAGCTTTGAAATTAACCTTAGATGTATTCATTCGCAAAGTTTCTTGTGGACGTTCATTTTTTTCAGCAATGAGTTAACATGTTTGGGTGATTCTAAAACCATGACCCAAACAGACAGCTGCATAAAAAGGAATGTTTAAAAACTCCTTATTTAGGTAAATACTTTTTAGACATATCTTATTTTGAAGGTGTTGGTAAGTACGTAGAACATAATCCTTATTTGTAGCCAATCTCCTGAAGCCAGGAAAAATCGTAAACTGTTAAGCACAATTTCAAGAACGATCTGAACCTCGTCGTAAGCGAAATACCAAAACAATTATAAACAAATGTGGCGGAAGGAAATTTCTTTTAGTGTAGAAAAATGGTACGTTTACAATTGCGTCTGACAATCCAATTTACATTTACTAGTCGCTGACCGGCATCTCCGCACGTGAGCTTACGAAATATCTTAATCCTCTGACCTCCCAATTGGCAAAATCTAACGAAAATCCGGTTACCTTAGTCCAGTGTAACTGAAGCAATGTATAAGCGGAAGAAACCACTAGCAATTCTCTTGAAACATTGTTGGAATACATACTTCAAAGTTGGCCTGTTCGGTAACAGCCATATATCACATTGCACGTAAAATAGAAGCATATGTATCCGAAAATGTTACAAAATGACTATTTTTCAACGTAATTCTACTCGTGCTGCTTTATTCACTCGGTTTTTTGCATGAACAGGCTTCCTCTACATTTAAAACTTAAATTTACCTAGTATGCCCGATTTTAACTTTTTCAGAATTTCCGTTTTGCCAAAACAGCTGGTATTTCTAAACAACGTAACATTACTTAATAAATCCCAATATGTCCTATTTCGAAGAATGACCACTTGGTCAACCGATTTATCCCTCTGGTACCGGCATACAGAGCCCTGTGTCGTTACCTCCAGACTGATGTCACTGGTGTTTAATTGGTCCCTGCTCCCTATAATTGTTACTTGTTTTGCTGCCTCAGGCGGGGCTTTTTGATATACGGTTCAAGCAGTTATTGAGGACAAATTTCAGTGAAGGCTCAACAGTCACCTAGACCAGGGTCGTGGTATTTGGGATCTTTCTTACATTGTCAAACTTTAACAGAATAAATAAACAAGAAGCTACATATGATCTTTCCCAGTAGTACTAAGGAAGAAGTCTAAGCCCGTTCCTTATCACACATAGGATCTGCTGTTTGGATAAGATAACAAGAATCTGAATAACCGATTCCAGTGTCCCAGTCAACATTCAAGGAGACAAGGGGAGCACATTTACTAACTTCGTAATGAAATCGACCTGTTTACTCGGCACTCATAATACTAACAACAAATTGTGATGCATTCCCTTCAAAATACTTGCTGTCATGTGGCGTAAATCAGAAAATGGGCTCCTATACTTTTAAGCTTCGCTTGAATTTCCCTTTACTAAATACATGATTGCAAAATGTCAGTGTAGGACAAAATAACGTAGTAAGACAAAAATAATTCTATCCAACTGATGACAACTTATGGTATCTGTCACACCCGGCATGAATTGTATGTAAAGCATTAAAGTAGAATGAATAACGTGCATTTTTTGAAGATCTTCGAGAGCCCGCTTGCGTTCGGTAATTTCTGTTTCAACAGCGACAGCAAACGAGTGTTCAAGTTGAACTAAATCCATCGCAGTCGCTGACTGCACTATCCTTGCATAGGCTTGACCAAAAATATCTTCGTCTGCCAGAGACTCAAGTTGACGACGCGATGTCGTACGCTAAAAGGGCGAACATATAACCTCTTGAAAATTGAACAACCTCATCCACGGCCGTCTCCAGGTCAGCTGCAATATTTTCTCCATTCGAATCATCAGAAAGGAATTCGTCATACAACTGAGTCGCACTCTTGTCGTAAAATTTCTTTTCCTCTTCCTCAATGAACACCTGGAGGGCGTCAGAGAAATCTATCGATCTTCAACATGTCAATAAGATTTACCCGACTCAGCAAACTTTGGAATTCCGTGGGTAAGAATCAGCCTGGAAAGAAGCCACGTAAATGGCTGGGCTCGGGGAATGCAGACGTCATCTTTGCATGATACAACGACATTGGGAGCGTAAGTCCAAGAAAAAGAGAACTTGCATGTGTTCATTTTGGTCTAGAACAGAAAAACAAGAGACATGTGTGTAAAACTAAACACTGGACTTAAATTGGCGCACCAGAGAAGCTAAGGAGGAAAGTTTAAATGCGTAGAAAACATCAGGATACTTGCAAATACGTGTTAAGTAATTGTATTGTGGAACACGCCATTCAGAGCGCAGGTTTTACAATGTCGAAGTGGATCCTGTCATTGGGCGCGGTGGAAAATTGCTGAAAGCCATACTGCTCAATGTTGCGTTGGCTTTTTAGTCCACGGTAACCTCATTTCCTACTCGGCTTTAGGATGCCTTTTGCTGCTACCAAGCAGTCTGTGGAGGACTTTCGTCCCAGGACGCCACATGGTAGTTAACAAGCAGTGGATTGTATACTGTGTTCGGTTGAACCGAAACTTCGCTCGACGCCTCAATTACTAGGATTGAGTTTTACTTCGGTAAAAAAACTGAAAGTCATCTAAAACAGAAGCGTAGAATACAAAATGGCGTTAAGATTATAGGTTCTTAATCAAAGCATTCCCGACAATCCTCCACATTGAATTTTAGTTGGCGATATAACATTTTCAGAAGCCGTCTGCCTACAGATATCTCAGGTGTCCGACCCTTATGCGTTTTGCGTTAGTTTTTTTCATGGAAGTCAAGTCTTATTGCGCAGTATCATGAAGGGTCCGGCAGTTCTGCCGAAAGTGATGCTCCTGCCTCCCACCTAATGTTTATTATTCAAAATTAATTAGCATGCATACAATATATAAACTAAAAACCCTTGGCCAGAGAACTCCTCGAGTTGAAGAGATTGACTGAATAGCGGACGCGAAACACTTGCAAATTATACGTCTGCGCATCTGCATATTACAGACATAAAGGTAATGAAGA